CTGTGGCTGAGCTCTGTGGTTGGGCTCTGTGGCTGAGCTCTGTGGCTGGGCCCTGTGGCTGGGCACTGTGGCTGGGCCCTGTGGCTGGGCCCTGTGGCTGAGCTCTGTGGCTGGGCTCTGTGGCTGGGCCCTGTGGCTGGGCTGTGGCTGGGCCCTGTGGCTGGGCTCTGTGGCTGGGCATGGTGGAGTCCTCTTGATAGTTTAGTATTTAGTAATTTCCCTCAGAGGTATCATTTAGACTCCTCTGGGCCCTCACTCACAGACATCAGACGTGGCTTCTCCCAGGGAAACCTCTACTGACGCAGCTTTGAAGTGTAGAAGGTAGAGGAGCTTCTTGGATGTGCCCCCCCCCCCCCCCCCCCCCCGCCAGGCCTGCACTCCTCCCAACACATTCCTGCGCTCCTTCATCTCGCTCTTCCCATCGGCTCTCAGCGTGGCGGGTGGGAGAAGAATGCCGGCAGCAATTCAGTCCACGAGCGATCTCCTCACACGGCTCACAGAGGTTAGCGCGCTCCTAACTGCAGATGATTTGCGGTTTGGAGACAGAATGGGAACAATGGCGGCTCTTTAACTCGTTCCACAACCGGAGGCGGATCGAAGGGTCGAGGTTGGCGGATCGAAGGGCCGAGGTTGGCAGATCGAAGGGTCGAGGTTGGCGGATCGAAGGGCCGAGGTTGGCGGATTATTAATGCCAGTAAGGGCTGCAGGTTATGGCAAAGGGAAAAAAAAGTCTTGTGAAATGATCGGCCATCACCAGAGAAAGACGAATTTATTGATCTGTGTCTGTAAAGTGGAAGTGCGCTGCGTCTGAGAACCGCCAATAAAACACGCTATTTCATTCATTTTTAATATTTACAACACACTCCTCCATCCATCCATGTCTCCATCTATCTATCCATCCATCCATCCATCCACCCATGTCTCCATCTATCTATCCATCCATGTCTCCAGCCATTCATTCATGTCTCCATCCAATCACCCATCCATCCATGTCTCCATTTATCTATCCATCCATCCATGTCTCCATCCATCCAATCACCCATCCATCCATGTCTCCATCTATCTATCCATCCATCCATGTCTCCATCCATCCATCCATCCATGTCTCCATCCATCCACCCATCCATGTCTCCATCTATCTCTCCATCCAACCATCTCTCCATCTATCCATCCAGCCATGTCTCCATCCATCCAATCATGTCTCCATCCATCCATGTCTCCATCTATCCATCCAAACATCCATTTCACCATCCATACCTCCATCTATCCATCTATCCATGTCTCCATCCATCCATTTCTCCATCCATGTCTCCATCCATCCATCCACCTCTCCATCCATGCCTCCATTCATCCATTTCTCCATCCATGTCTCCATCTATCCATCCATCGTCTCTATCCCTCCATCCATCCATGTCTCCATCCATCAATCCCTACATCCATCCATTCATGTCTCTGTCCACCCACCCATCCATCCATCCACTCCGCCCCCCCCCCCCCCCCCCCCCCCCCGTGCATCGTCCCTTGGTTGTATCCCCGTCCTACCTCCCAAGCCAAGTATCATTCTGAGGTGCTAAAAATTTGTATGCAATTTGTTAATGATAACAAGAAAAGCAGTAAAATAGATCCCCTCAGCAACAATAGATCCCCCACACAGCAGCAATGGACCGCCTACAACAAAATACCACCCCAGCAACAAAAGATCCACCCCAGAAAGATTAGACTTTCCCCAGCAGCAACAACAGATCTTCCAAAAAACATTATAGTTTCCTTTTGAAGTAAACCTTGCCTAAGGGAAACATGGAGGATGCCTTTGCCGACCCAAACTCCCAGATGCCTAGTTGTTGGGCTGACCTTCTGGATGGGAATTCTAATAGGATTACTAATATTTTCTATCCCAATTTTCTGGTTTTATGACCCGACAAGCAGACTTTCCTTCCGTACCTTTGCTCTGTCGGCGACATATGGAAAGCTTAGGATGTCTTTGGCACTCGGTCGCAGCTCTGGGTCTTTGGACAGCATCCTGCAATCAGAACACAAGATTGGGAATGACGAAGTGATGGAAAAGCCATGTTCTCTCATTAATTGTCATACAAGCATCTGGACACAAGAAACAAAATACAGTGGAAATTGTTTTTGAAAAGAAAAGAAAAAGCCATAAAGCTGCATTGCATTTTGATCTGGCAGTTGGCTACACAGGAATATAACTGAAAAATGACCTGAGGACAGGCAGTACAGCAGCAGCCGAAGCCATGACTAGGCCAGGGTTCTTAGAGGGCCTACAAGATCCCCACCTACAAAGACAGGGGGGCAAAAAAGTATTTAGTCCCCACCAATTGTACAAGTTCTCCCACTTACAAAGATGAGAGAGGCCTGTAATTGGCATCATAGGGAGACCTCAACTATGAGAAACAAAATGAGAAAACAAATCCAGACAATCACATTGGCTGATCTGGAAAGAATTTATTTGCAAATTATGGTGGAAAATAAGTATTTGGTCTCCTACAAACAAGCAAGATTTCTGGCTCTCACAGACCTGGACCTTCTTCTTTAAGAGGCTCCTCTGTCCTGCACTCATTACCTGTATCAGTGGCACCTGTTTGAACACCATACCTACTGTGAAGCATGGGGGTGGCAACATCATGCTTTGGGGCTGTTTCTCCGCAAAGGAACCAGGATGACTGATCCATGTACAGGACAGAATGAATGGGGCCATGTATTGTGAGATTTTGAGTGCAAACCTCCTTCCATCAGCAAGGGCATTGAAGATGAAACGTGGCTGGGTCTTCCAACATGACAATGATCCCAAACATACCGCCCGGGCAATGAAGGAGTGGCTTCGTAAGAAGCATTTCAAGGTCCTGGAGTGGCCTAGCCAGTCTCCAGATCTCAACCCCATAGAAAACCTTTGGAGGGAGTTGAAAGTCCGTGTTGCCCAGCGACTGCCCCAAAACATCACTGCTCTAGAGGAGATCTGCATGGAGGATGGGCAACATACCAGCAACAGTGTGTGCCAACCTTGTGAAGACTTCCAGGAAACGTCTGACCTCTGTCATTGCCAACAAAGGATATATAACAAAGTATTGACATGAACTTTTCATATTCACCAAATACTTATTTTCCACCATAATTTGCAAATAAATTCTTTCCAGATCAGCCAATGTGATTGTCTGGATTTGTTTTCTCATTTTGTCTCTCATAGTTGAGGTCTCCCTATGATGCCAATTACAGGCCTCTCTCATCTCTGTAAGTGGGAGAACTTGCACAATTGGTGGCTGACTACATACTTTTTTACTGCACTGTATAAATTTGCTTACAGGACCTCTGGTCAGTGTAATCTCAAATATTATTTTATTATTATGAATCCACCATCGTGCCATACAGGGCCAACCTTAAATACCTATTGGGCGCTTAAAATGGTCACCATACATGGTCTGATTGTCAACAAGATTGATTTAGCCAGTCTTGGGCACAGCCCAAGAAAACCCATCAAAGAAAAACCGGGAAATAACATTAACCACCTATCTAGCAATACAAGCAGATTGGGAGCTGGAAGAAGAAGTGATAGACGGGAACAGGATAGAAATCTGCTGTAAAGCAGGTGATGGCGATAGGTGAACGCAGAAGCCAGCAGCACATGTGAAGAGCACAGGTCCAGCAGAACCACTGCAGCAAGGAGGTAAGAATTTCACAAGCAGGGAACTGCAGGCCAAACCGTGACGCCTTTTATGGCTACAAGAGAAATAATGGGCAAAATTTTCTTGCAGTCTCTAGAAATGTTGACTCCTGGAATGTCTATCAGGCTAACGGGTGACAGGTTCCCTTTAAACTGAATCCATAATATGCCAAAGATAAACTGACTTGCCCCAATCATTTTCATGTTCTAAATACTCATGGCTGACATTTTGATCTGAGCCAACTGGGTGGCGCATTGACAGATGAAGGTCCGCGCTGATGTTGTCCGCAGTGACTGTTTTTCCACTCCGCGGTGTCACTGAGTAACTTTGTTAAAATATCAAAGTTCAGCTTCTTGAGATCCGGTTACCCAATTAACCCTCCGCGATGACAGCCAGGCCATGCCGCTTCACAGGCAATTATCAAAGAATGCGAAGATGTGATATCAGGACACTCTTGCATGAGCTAGGTTTGAAAAGCCAGTAAAACCATTTCAGAAGTGCACATGTCACATGAAGGCAGCGAAGGAATGCAATTATGCAACTCAAGAGATATTGATATTGATCGAGGTTCATGGATTTTATTTAACAAGGACTTGACTGTACACAGATATATGACAGATGTGTATATGCCGCGCACATCACTCCCATACTTAACAAGCCCTCCCTGGACCCCACCAACCTGAACAACCTAAGACCCATCTCCCTGCTGCCATTTACCTCTAAACTCCTAGAACGCTTAGTCTACAATCACCTGAGCTCCCACCTCACCGACAACAACCTTCTTCACCCTTCACAGTCTGGCTTTCACCCGGTACACTCCACTGAAACTGCCCTAGTAAAACTCTCTAACAACCTACTAACTGCAAAAACCAACAGCCACTATTCAATACTCCTACTACTCGACCTCTCCGCGGCTTTTGATACGGTTGACCATCCCCTCCTCCTAAAAAAACTCCACTCTCTTGGCCTCAGAGACTCCGCTCTCTCCTGGTTCTCCTATCTATCGCAGCACTCCTTCAGTGTTACCTATAACACTGCCACCTCCTCTTCACTTCCTCTCTCTGTAGGGGTCCCTCAAGGTTCTGTCCTTGGACCCCTTCTCTTCTCCATCTACACCTCCTCCCGTGGTCACTTGATAAACTCCCACGGCTTCAATTACCATCTCTATGCTGATGACATGCAAATCTATCTGTCTACCCCTCTCTTCACCCCCTCAGTCTCCAATCGCATCACCAGCCTACTAAGTGACATATCGGCTTGGATGTCACTCCACTTCCTCAAACTCAACCTCTCCAAAACTGAGCTCCTAGTATTCCCCCAGCCCGTGCCCCCTCCCCTGACTTCTCTATCAAGATCAATAACACAATCATCAGTCCCTCCCCCCATGCCAGGGTACTAGGTGTAATCCTAGACTCCCATCTGTCCTTCCAGCCCCAGATCCAATCGCTGACAAAATCATGTAGACTTCACCTCCGCAACATCTCCAAGATACGACCGTTCCTAACCTCGGAAACCACTAAGCTACTTATTCACTCCCTTGTTATATCACGCCTCGACTATTGTAACTCCCTCCTCATCGCAGGCTATCCCCCCTCCAGTCTATCATGAACACTGCTGCCAGACTCATCCAGACTCATCCACCTCACTAACCGTTCCATATCCGCCTCCCCTCTCTGTCAATCCCTCCACTGACCTCCATTCAGTGTCGTCCACCCCTTTCTAACAATCCCTCCACTGGCTTCCCATTCAGTGTCCTCCACTCCTCTCTGCAAATCCCTCCACTGGCCTCCATTCAGTGTCGTCCACCCCTTTCTAACAATCCCTCCACTGGCCCCCATTCAGTGTCCTCCACCCCTCTCTGCCAATCCCTCCACTGGCTTCCCATTCAGTGTCCTCCACTCCTCTCTGCCAATCCCTCCACTGGCCTCCATTCAGTGTCCTCCACCCCTTTCTAACAATCCCTCCACTGGCCCCCATTCAGTGTCCTCCACTCCTCTCTGCCAATCCCTCCACTGACCTCCATTCAGTGTCGTCCACCCCTCTCTGTCAATCCCTCCACTGACCTCCATTCAGTGTCGTCCACCCCTTTCTAACAATCCCTCCACTGGCCCCCATTCAGTGTCCTCCACCCCTCTCTGCCAATCCCTCCACTGGCCTCCACCCCTCTCTGCCAATCCCTCCACTGGCTCCCAACGGATAAAATTCAAAACACTAACAATGACATACAAAGCCATCCATAACATTGCCCGCAATTTCCATATCCGATCTTATCTCTAAATATCACCCAAACCGTACTCTCCACTCCTCGCAAGACCTCCTACTCTCTAGCTCCCTTATCTCCTCCTCCCATGCTCGTCTCCAAGACTTCTCCAGGGCATCACCCATCCTCTGGAACTCCCTACCCCAATCTATCAGACTATCACCTACTCTACTTACCTTTAGGCGATCATTGAAAAACTATCTCTTCAGGGAAGCCTATCCCGCCCTCTGCAAATACTGGAATCCTCTACTCTTCCAACCACTCCATCCCCCAGAATTTTACCTATTGTACCACTCACCCCTCCCTCTTAGATTGTAAGCTCCAAGGATCAGGCCCTCAAATCCCTCTTGTATTGAACTGTATTGTTGCTGTATTGTCTCCCACATGTAAAGCGCTGAGCAAACCCTTGGTGCCATAAATCCTGTATTATAATAATAATAATAATAATATATGCGAGCATTGTGTTGAGCATTGTGTGCGAAGGCTGGGTCACTTTTGTGCTCTCTTGAAGCTCCATCCTTCTGCTGGGATCACCTCTTGTATACAGAATAGTTTCTTTCAATAATTAGTTTTTTTCCATTAAGACAAAATAAATTATATAGGCCAGGAGTCTCCAAACTTTCCCAACAGAGGGCCAGTTTACTGCCCTTTGAACCTTGGGGGAAGCCGGACTGTGGCCAGTGGGAGTAGAAAATGCCTCAGCATCAGTGGAAGTAAACAATTCTATAGGTAATTCTGTGGCCAGACTTGAAAATTGCTGTTCCCTGATGCCCTCCATCCAATCTGACTGAGCTTGAGCCATCCTGCAAAGAAGAATGGGCAGAAATGTCCCTCTCTAGATGTGCAAAGAGACATCCCCAAAAAGACTTGCAGCTGGGATTGCAGCCAAACGGGGTCCCACAATGGGTAGGGTAGGGGGGGCTGAGGGATTTCCTCTGACTTCCTGGTTTGGCTATGGGACATGAAGTGAAGGGATATCTCCCCAGTGGGGACACTGATGATGGCAAAAAAATGAAATGACAGAGGTTATAACCCTCCCTTACTCTATCCAAATTTTTTTATTTTAAGTTTTGCGCTTAGATCTACTTTGGAAGTGTTGGGACAGTTCAGTGTCCTACAGGAAATGACAACTCATGGGGCCCCTGGGCAATAGGGGATCATGGGGCCCCTGTGTCCTCGCCCCACACTTAAACCACACCCAAAAAAAAGCCTATGAAAGGAACCAGGGGCATCTCATGGGGCCCCCTACTGACCCCGGGCCCTCAGGCAGTGCCTGAATGATCAGTCTGCCCCTGGTGTCCTATTAAGTTGCACATGTTGTATGTTGGGATGTTCTGGCTCAGCGATACACATGGAATGTATAACTGGGACATATAGGAATAATAGAAGCTCTCAGCTGGATCAGCACATACATCTCCACGGACGTCACCTCTCTTCTCTAATGTGATGCGCGGTGTTCATTGCTCAGCGTAGCTTGCTCTGCCCTGACTCAGTTGCTGCCAATGAGAGTCCTGCCCCCCCCCCCCCCCCCCCCAGAGATGTATTTTTTCGGGTTCGGTTCAATTAGGCGCAATCATAATTGTTCTGCTCAGTGGAAGGATCCCAGAAGATGTAATTATTATGCACATTCAGTGGCGCAAATCTAAGGCCTCATTACCAAAGTCTGGCTGGCAGCTTTTCTGCCGGGGGATAAATTATTGCTAGTGACCCAGATATTAGCGGCTGTCAGACTCGGAGTTTGGTCCTAGGTATGGGACGAGGTGGTGCAGGAGGTTGTGATGAAAATGTCGCAGAGGTGTCAGCTGAGTCTGATTGGTTATGCCAACACGAATGTCATCTGGCCTGCCCAGGGTGGCTCCCAATGCCCGGGACACAACCAGATCATTCATGAAAGCTGAACTCCAGGCATGATTGTTGCATAGATACATTGGTCCAACTTGGAACATATATACAGCTGTGCTCAAAAGTTTGCATCCCCTGGCAGAAATGGTGACATTTTGGCTTTGATATTGAAAATCTGACTGATCTGCCAAAAAGCTGTCTTTTGTTTAAGCATAGTGTTCATATGAAGCCATTTATTATCACAGAGTTGTTTGGCTCCTTTTTAAATCCTAATGATAACGGAAACCCCCAAATGGCCGGATCAAACGTTTCCCTCCCCTGGAATGTTCGGCCTTGGTATGGACACACAAGGTGACACACACGGGTTAAAGTGGAAATGAAAGGTTCCTTTCCCACCTCTGTCAGTGAGTTTGTAAGCTCTCACATGGATGCACTGAGCAGGCTAGATATGGAGCCAGCAGAAAAGAACTGTCAAAAGACCCGCATAACAAGGTAATGGAACTTTATATAGAAAGAAAAAAAGAATATAAAAAGATGTCCAAAACCTTGAATATTCCAATCAGTGCTGTCCAATCACTTATGAAGGAGTGGAGAGTTCGGGATCTCTTGATACCAAGACAAGGTCAGGTAGACCAAGCAAGACTGCAGCCACAACTGCCAGAAGAATTGTTTGGGGCACAAATAAAAACTCACAGGCAGGGGCAGGACTGACCATTTGGAAACTCGGGCACTGCCCAAGGGCCCGGGGTCAGTAGGGGGCCCCATGAGATGCCCCTGGTACCTTTTTGATAGGCTTTTTTGAGTTTGGGCAAGGACACAGGGGCCCCATGATCCGCTATTGCCCGGGGGCCCCATGAGTTGTCAGTCCACCCCTGCCCGCAGGTAACCTCAGGAGAAATCCAGGCTGCTCTGGAAAAAGACAGTGTGGTTGTTTTAAGGAGTAAAATTCGATAATACTTGAACAAAAATTAGCTGCATAGTCCAGTTGCCAGAAAAAAGTCTTTTACTGCGCCAATGCCACAAAAAAGCTTGGTGAGACATGTCAAGGTGTTGTCAGGCATATTGGAACCGGCCTTTTTTTGTGGCAAAGCCTTGCATATGCCAGTCAGTTCTGTTCAATCACTTATTAATAGGTGTAAAGTTCGGGAATCTCTTGATACCAAGCCAAGGCCAGGTAGACCAAGAAAGATTGCAGCCACAACTGCCAGAATAATTGTTTGGGACACAAAGAAAAACCCCCAACAGGTGACCTCAGGAGAAAGACGGTCTGCTCTGGGAAAAAACTGTGTGGCTGTTTCAAGAAGCACAATAGGACGATACTTGAACAAAAATGAGTTGCATGGTCGAGTTGTCAGAAAGAAGCCTTTTCTGTACCAATGCCACAAAAATTCTTGGTGAGGCGTGTCAAGGTGTTGTCAGCATATTGTAACCGCGCTTTTTGTGGCATGGGCCGTAGTATCTCTGCAGTTTGGAGACCTCTGTTTTAGAGGATGCAGGTTACAGGGAAATGTGTTACATACCTGGTGGTCCTACCTGAAGTTGACCGCATTCCTTTCTACACCATACAGCCCCAGAAATTTTCATACATCACACACAACAGAAATTACCTACATACTTGTTTTGGCTGCTACCCAGGTGGTTGCTAAAGCTTGGAAGAAGCTCACAGTCCGCTTTCAAAAAGTCAAAGAGCATATGAATTTAATGCAGGTCAATAAGAAATTATCCCATATCTTGAACCATTCAGAGACAGCATTCATAAAAATGGGGGAATCATGGCTTACTAACCCCTTCTGTCCTTAAACCCATCCAGTCTGAATGACTTGTACCCACTTCCCTTGTGATCTCTTCTCTTACTCAAGATTCCTGATTCCCCTCCTTTATTTTTTCCCTTTCTTAATAGCTCTCAGAATCTCTTCCTCCCCTTCCACTACTCTAATTGGACCCGTGGCCTCCATGAAGGTGTAGCGCACCCCCTAAAGAGCTGCTGGTGAATGCAGTCCTATTTCCCCCTTAGAGCACACACGGCCAGGCATGCAACATTTTCCTTATTCTTCCACTGGTAAAAAAAAAAAACAGTTTAGGGGTTACTTTTTGGGTTTTTTTGGGAACGATGAAGTTGGATAGTGTGAGGGAGCATGGGATACCCAGATAAACTGTAGAACTGAATAACTTGAGGACTTCCTAGCTTCTCTGGCTACACTGGAACCAAAAGGAATGTCTCACAGGATCTCTAGGCTGATGGTGACCTGTACTCCTTTCAGAGGTTAAAAGCTACACAGAATCACTATTCTTCAGCATGGGGGTCATGTACTCACATAGCCACAGGATCATCGGTTGCCTCCTGCTGATATCAACCAGGCTTTTCCTAGTGAGGGAGATGTAGACCATAACACAGCTGGACTCTTTCCCACCAGTTTCCTCCTGTCTCTCTTCAGTAAGCTTCTCTGGACCCAACTTGATCCTTGAACGTAAGCTTGCGAATAGCACCCCCCTACCCCCCCCCCCCCCCAGCTAAGCTTCTTCTAGAATCCTGCACCAGGGGCTTCCTCCAGCAGGACTGGACCCAGGAACAGTGCACCTTGTTGCTCAGGACTCAGACTAATTATCGTCTCCCTCTCCACCTACTGGGAACACCTCCCCAGAGATTGGCTGAAGTTTCAGAAATATTCAGGCTGCCCAGTCTGTGCTTCCTC